CCCCATGGTCCTGCCGCGAATGGCTGGAGCACAGACGAGAGAGAGAAAACGGTGCCTGGCTCAGCTCCGAATCCCTAGAAGGATAGTGAGAGCCTCAAGGCTAAGCCTTGGAGGGGAGAAGGAGCGAGGTCTCTGGGGTGAGCGAACCAAGTACAGTATAGCGAAAGTTCGAATGTGTGAGATCACGGTAGTCTGCTTAGGCAAGGGAACGCAGGCGGGAGCATCGAATTGAGGCTGTTCAAAGGATCGGGTTCAAGTAGTCGGTTGCCCCGCCAAGCACCTTCTCCCTTCTCATTTGGCCGTGGACCACCGAGACTGCTCCTAGATCAAAATAACAATTCTGTCTCTTCTCCAAGGCTCTGCCCGGAATGAACGTGAACATCGAGTGGAAGAGGTCCCGCTCTAGGTCAGAGCGTGGTCCATTGCGGAATGAGAACCTTGAATAGCGCAACACCGAGCGGGTTCACATCCTAGCTTGAAGTTTTATTTCATAATTTTTAAGAAATCATTACCAAATGGAGGCAGTGGGAGGGGGACGGGAATGGGGGTATCTCGTGATCTCTCTACCATTTCTCTGGCTTTCTCTATTACCAAGGAACACCTCCAAAATTCAGAGCATCAGTTCTTTGTACAAATTGTTACAAAAACATTTGCGGATTTCTTTATTTAATCTCATCAGATTCCATTTCAGCTGGCAAATGACCCTCGTTATGGTGGCGTTTTTTCCAATTTTCTTCGGTCCGCTCACTGTGACCGCAAAGGTAGGAATATTTAGGGATGGAGGTTTGTTCCTGTCATGAGCCACACAAATTAGCCGCTCCGAGCGGGAAAAGTGTTCGACTACTGGTGCTTACGGGAGCGACGCTTACGGGACGTCACTTGGGGTGGCGCGCGCGAGGAGCGGCTGTACCACGCGGCGCGCGACCGGAACAAACGCTCCCGAAATGATTCCTTTCGTCAGTAACACAATGTACACGATTGACTGATGTAGTACAATTGCAGATTATGGGAAAGGTCGCACCAAAAGAGCAGGAGGCGTATGTCCGGGCAGGTTCTACTGCTGAAGAGGTTATCAACGGCATACGAACAGTTGTGGCGTTCAATGGACAAGAGAAGGAGATCAAAAAGGTGCCCCATTTCCACTGCTAGGCAACTATTCTCCTACCGGAAGTTGTACCGAAGTAGCTAGCGCTCTCGCTGTGGTTTCAGGTACTCCAGCCATCTGAAAGAGGGGATGCATCACGGGATGATCAAGGCTTTCTTGACCTCATTCGGAGTAGCTTTTATTATGGGCTCTCTATTTGTCTCCATGGCGATTTCGTTTTGGTAAGGCAGCTTCCATTATGCAGTACTACTGATTATACCGATTACCAGCTACCGTAATCACGATGTTGACGTCTTTAGGTATGGCACAAAGTTGGTGATCTCGGGTGCCATCACGCCGGGTACGGTGTATTTTCCGTTTTCTGGGCAGTGATCGGTGGAGCTTTCGCTGTCGGTCAAGCGGCTCCTCAGATCGGTGTGCTCATTTCCAGCATGACCGCTGCTGCTCCCATCTTCTCCATCATCGATCGAGTCCGTTTAGTGGGCATTAGCCAATCGATTAATCAATAGACCTGAATTATATCTCTTAGGAACCACCCATCGATTCCTTTTGGCTAAAGAAGGACGGGTACTTGAAGACATCAAGGGACGAGTTTCGATCAAGGACGTCCGCGCTTTCAGCTATCCATCTCGTCCCGAGGTACAACTCTGCTCCCAGTGCCTCATTATTCTCTCTAATCTGACTTCAGGTTGAAGTTCTGAAAGGCGTTACAATTAACGTTGACAGTGGGCAGCACATAGCACTTGTTGGCCACAGCGGTTGTGGGAAAAGTACCCTTGTTGGGCTACTACTTCGCTTTTACGAACAGCAATCAGGAAAGTAAACAGGTTCCAAGTGCGTTGAAAGCCCAATGATAACTAAGAGTGTTCAGATCTCTATCGAATACGCTTCCCGCTATTCTGAACTTGAAACATTTCGAACATCTAGGAGGAACATTGGGAGTCGTGTCTGTTCCAGGAGCGCGACCGTGTTTGCTGATACCAGTCGTGTTCAGTTTCACCATCCTTAGCTTTGAAGCTTTGTGCTGAACCATTCCATCCTTAATGAATTTTGAAACTCCACCCCAACAAACTTTCCCACATTTTTCATAGCAACAAGCATGAGTGTCCTTTCTCCCAGTCCCGGTGCTCACGGATTTTGCTAAAGTTGTCCATTTATTGTACTCCCCTTCCAGATTAGACTAAATTCTTCAAAAGTGACCAAACATTAGGCTTCATGCTCGACGGCACCGCAAAGGGCCTTGAGGTTCAAGCCTGAGTCATATTAGGGTTACGCCACGCATCCAAGTTCCTTCCAGAACCGCACAGCCCTATTACAGGCCCCTCTGATCTTATAAATGACAGGCAAACTACCGGTTAAAGCTACCGGTCGGGATTAGGGTCAACAGGCAGCCCCCTTAGAGTGAGAAGGAGGAGCCCCCAAGTCCAAGAGCTGCGACACTGAAGAGACTTACAGTGCGCGGCAAGGGCGCTAAGGCCTTGCCTTGTACGCTGCCATTGCTGCCACCTTATCAATCGCAACATACATGGCGTTTGCGCCCTCTCGCGTACGACGTGCTCTCTCGCGTTTTCCCTCTCCTCGCAGCGCAGTGTCTCTCCGTCATACACCTCACAAGGGACAATTCAGTGTTCTCTATGGTGTTTTTTGCTTTTTCTTCTCGCTAACGTTCCTCATCGCACTTCTTGCCTAACATCAAATAAAAACATGCAAGTTCAATTCCGAAACGTACCTTTAAGTTCGTTGTAGTTTTCAACATATGAACAAGTCTTTTACTAGGTGGTTGTTTCCAGTTTGTAAAGGATGGGGGATTTATCCACGAACTGCGGCAAGCGCTTCATTGCCACTTCTACGACAGAATGAGAAACTGTCTATGTCGCTCAGAAGTTCAGAACATCATGAACGATTTTCAAAACAACGCAATCCATCACTTGTCCATTCTTTTTCGCGTTCGTGGCACTATGTATTTACCTTATGAAGTCCTTACTCCTTTTATTACATATATGCAATGAGAGTGTTCTGGTGACAAGTGGCACGACTCCCCAAACGTACAGCTCGGTGGTCGCATCCGGGATCAAACGTCGTCCAAGCCAACACTCACTGACTTGTGATGCTCCTGACCTTAAAATCCGTTGTAGCAAAAATCCCATTTAGGGAACGCTTTGACTCTAACTGGAAGAACAATGCGTGGCGCAGCAGTTACCTTGCCCTTCCAGACTCTGTTTGTCAGCCAGCGTTATTCAGCTAAATCAAACGCCGTCGTTAAAGCGGTTCTTCTCAGTACACTACAAGTAGTCCGCACAAAACTATTATGTGTGCTGATTCAACTGTCAATGCAATGCTTGCCAATAAATAACCCAAAAGTTGAGGTTGAAAAACAATATCCGCTGGACGCGCGGATATTCGCAGCAGGAATGAGATTATACGAAAAATGGCGAACGCGCATGATTTCATCATGAACTTAAATCAGGTTCGTTTAACCTTCACCTAGTTTTTACCATTGCAATCACAAAAATTCCTTTCCTAGAAACAATCTACATAGAAAGTTGCGAAGGAGGATATGTACTCGGAAGAGATCGTGCCCGCATATATGTATGCACAAGCCATCTGAAATATATCCTGAATAGGTGAAGTTGTTAGCGAGCAGCCTTTTTTTCTTTCCGAGGGCTACCACAAGGATAGGATAGGGTGTTGGCAGCCTGCCGGTGTCCAATAACCAGCGAGTTGCCAATATCGCTCGAGGCTCCTGTCAGAGAATCCCGCGAATTCCTCACTGGCTGCGATGAGGCTACGAGCTCGTTGGATGCTGGAAGCGAAGCATTGTGCAACAAGCCTTGAAAAAATGTAAGCGTCGCGTTATAATTTCAAGGCACCATGTTTCATATATTTATTGTTTACTTTTTCACGGATAAGGTCTTAAGAGGTTCCATCAATTTATCATTTATTTATTATTGCTATTTATTTTATTTCATTCTAGTTTATTTGTCTATTATTCTTTGTTGTTCATTTTTTTATTTCTTCTGCTTGGTTTTCTGTAGCAAGTGCGAAAGTACCACGCTAGAAGACCGACTTCCCGTCCGCTAGGGAGCATAGAGCCTGTTCAGGCACGATAAACGGGCATTTCTAAGACTCGAGGCCTGCTGTTAGGCCCATGAACTTCGGAAAAGTGGAAAATGCTCACGTCTTACTATCTTAAAATCCATTTTCCTTTGGGTTTGTTGGAAAGGTTGAGCCCATGTGTACTTCTTCGTTCACAAAGCAATTATCCCGAGTTCTGACAGAGAGCTTCCCCATTTCTGCTGCGGTTCATGCAGACCATCTCTCACGGAGATAGTCACTGTGTTCGGTAGACAAACTATAATTTGTGGGAAATGTTCACATAAATTGAGGGCTGATAAGCTATGGTGAATATACCATCAAAAGCTAAGTTAGAACGAAACGGTGCCCCGGTAGGGTAACTTGTAGCGCACTTAGCCTGCAAGCGCAGAGTGTCGTTCCGAGCCCGCCGTCCGGGCTGATGTTTTGTTTTTTTTTTCAATCAAACCCACAAAGTTTCTGTGTAAGTATTTCACATAAGTAGCTTCCACAAAATTCATGCAGCAAACATTGTGCTCCCACCTGTAACTGTTGGGCAGCAACAGCCCTTTTTAAATCCGCCTCCCCCCCCCCCGCCGCCTGAATCACGAGTCACGGAGACAGCTGATATATTATTATAGAAGGCGGAGGAAATTCTACGACGAGGGAAACTAGGTCATCGGGGCATAGGAAAAGAGCAAGTCGCGAGGAGCTGAGATGTGTATCTCAGTGAGAGGGAGCAGGAAGCCGACTATACACATCGCCAAGCAGGGTCGACCGTGCGTTTGCCTTGTCTCAGAATCTATAGAAACATACTAATAGAAACATACCATAGAAACAGCCATGATGGGGGCGTTTTGGTAAGGCTAGACAGAGGGTGTCTTGCGTGGACGCCTCCTGAGTCTCATGGTGATGGGGGGTCGCCCCCCTCACCATGAGACTCAGACCCCCTGAAGGAAGGGGGTCGCGAAATATCTGAAAATGTGCGAACGTCACGGTTGACCCTGCCGCCAAGTGGCCTGGCCTGATTACAGTATCGCCCAAAATCCCACACAAAAGACAGTTGGCATATCCGTTATGACGTGAATGTGTTAAGGCTCAATCTGGAAGGACAACCATTTCCATAGCTCACAGGCTTTCAACCATAAAGAACGTCGATCGTATCTATGTGTTTGACAGTGGCAAGATAGTGGAAGATGGTAAGTTCAGAAGCTAAGCTTACCAAGAAAATGTTGGAAATCATCGCTACTTGCAGGTAAACACGACGAGTTGATGAAAAAGAATGGCCTGTACTCGGAATTGGTGAGAGCGCAAGAAATTGAGCAGCTTGAGCAGGCCGAGAGCGACGACGAGGAAGGTGATAGACGCTGGTAGGCATGGCGAAAAACTACTGTGAACCTAGAAATATCCAGGGTTCACTTCGTTTGGCGCTACAACTGAACATCATGTGACTATGATGAGGAAGAGGAGTAAACGTCTTTCCCGTTCCATTTCTCACCCAGCTGAAGTTCGTGATCAGGAGCTCGAAAATCTAGAGGTATTCTGAAGTGTTCAACAATGTATTTGCTTTCTTTTCTTACGATATTTGAGATTACCGTAAACTTTCAGTACAGAATTTAGGAAGAAGCTGATGAGAAAAAAGTGAAAGGAGCGAGTCTGTTGGACATATTAAAGTATGCAAGACAGGAATGGTGTCAGCTGGCCGTAGCACTTATCCTCGCGGTGGTCCGTGGTATGACGTTCCCAGTGTTTTCGATCATTTATGGCCGAATGTTCAAGGTGAGAACATTTTGCACTGCACTGTCTCGCATGGGTTTCACTGGAATACGTTTTACCACATGAGTTCTTGGGAGCCCAGAACAGGTAGAATCCGTCTAGATTCGCGTATTTTGTTTGACTAATCCGTCCTAATCAGTTTCACGGTACGAAACTGAAACAATCTTATTTTCTGAAGTTCAAATGTACGTCAGCAATAGTCATATGTGGGCTATTGCCTAGGGTAACAGGATATTAACTATGTAATTCTTTTTAACAGTGCGAATGAGGGGCCGTATAATCGAGCCTCTTCTTGAAAATTTCATTTCATAACCGGACGTGTGTGTGTTGGGAATGGTGTTTTTAGGCATGACCGTAAAGCCGCTTGTGAAGGATATCGAGGGGGAAATTGTAAAGTCATGCAAGCTGTCTAGATCATCCCAGGCATCGCCCTAGCAGTTGCGGATTAGGCGTATAGTCTTACGAGCCTGCGACTATTATCGGACTCTTCCCGTTAGTCACGCTTCACACCTTACATATCGACGTGCTCTCTCGAATGTCGTGATCTCTCGCTGGTCTTGTCTTATTTTGACCGCCCTGCTGCTTTGCTCCACCTGGAACATCTTTAGAGTTTGGCCTTAACTTCAACGATGCAAAGATTTTCCTCAGTAGCTTTCCTTCCGATTATGCCGTCCGCACCTCGTCATCATTTCGAAGCGCTCTTCACACAGTCTCTATCCGGACTTGCCTAAACACGCACGAGTTCAGGCCCAGTGGACCTAAACCAAATCACTTTTAATTGCATGGGCTTAGCGCCCAGGAACGTTTGCCTATGCTCGGAATCAAATGTGCGGCCGTAATATATGCTCATGGCATGCATTAAGCGCTCGGGCCGCTGAGTGGTGTCGGCGCTGCCCATGGATTGTGTGCATGATTGGCAGTACGTTGTGAGATCACCAGGTTGTATTGCCGTATAAGGATGATACGACTGTATCTTTCAAATACTTTGTTTTGTACGTGATTTCCAAGCTGCAGCTCCGTTCACTGTAGTGGGGAAGAGGGTTTTTATTAACCGGACTTGTCGTGTTTTTTTTAGTTTTTCTCACACTGGTGTTCTACTCTTCGCAGATTATATTAACAGTTCAATGCATATATACCCGCCTTTATGAGCCCGATTTGACCTTTAAGCTAATATTAGGAATATTTGACTTGTTTTGTTTGTTAACTGCTGTTTTAACGCCGCAGTTCGCGTTGCGAATGTTTCACAAGAATGCTGGGTTGTGAACAAAACTTTCGCCCCAGGCGGGACTAGAACCCGCACCTCTCGCTTTCCGGGCAAGTGCGCTACCAGTTACGCTACCGGGGCACCATTTCATCCCAACTCAGCTTTTCATGGTATTGTTATAAAGTTTTGTTAATAACCCAGTATTTTTTTTTGAAATATGGAATAGTGTTCAAAGAACGTCAGCTACACAATACAATCTGAATTCAGACGTTAACAAGCGGCAGCAATTCTGAGAAGTTGCACGGAGCGGCTATGAATGCCATTTGGTTCTCGTTGCTGGGGGTTTCAACCGGCATCAGTACGATGATTTCCGGCTATCTCTTCGGCAGGATCGGTGAATCTTTCACAAACAGACTACGCTTATCGTTGTTCACAAATATTGTAAAGCAAGTGAGTATGACTAATAATTAGGAAGCTCATAAAGATTTCGACTATACACTTTTTAGGATGGCGAATACTTTGACCACGAAGATCATGCATCGGGAAAATTGACCACAAGACTAGCAACCGACGCTCCAAATATCAGAGCGGTAATTTTTATTATCGATCATTATCACACGCAAATGGCTTCAAAAAATGGGTATTGCATGTGGTTACCCGATAAGCTGCGAACTACCAAGCTGAGAATTCCCGGCCATTCTATCCCCGTCGTAATGGAATGAGTTCTAAGGAAGCGTTGAAAGGATAATGGCGGCTTTTCACGATTTTAAGGGCCTACTCAGAGTTTTTATGCAAAAGGATATAGTTTACGGTAAAATTCGTGCCTCTTTTTTGGGTGCGCCACGCCCTCGCTTCAACTCATAACCATAGTTTCATATGAATGCTATCTAGACTGTGAACAAGAGTCCTAATAAGCAGTTGAACGTTTTTATCCTTCCCTAACAAATGTGCTATCAAATAGGGAAATGGGAGTGTGGAAACGCTTGGTTGGCCTGGCGAGATTCG